AAGGAAAAGGAGCTGGTAGATGTAAGGGAAAACATAGATATTTTCCTGACAACTGAAGAGGGAAACATATCTACTGAAACTGAGAAAGTGATTGTATTCGATGAGAATGTAATGGGGGAAAAAGAGAAAGAAAACCAAGTATTTTCTGTGGCTAGGAAAAGACCGGCAGCAAACCATAATGAAGAGATAGAAAAGATAATGGCTAGAGAAAGTGTGAGACCTGTCATGCCGGGATTGAGTCCAGAAGAATGGACGGTATTAGTTTATTCCAGGGGTAAGGGACCGGAGCGATATGTACACCACATGGATCCAGTAATAGTGGGCGAGAAACCACAGGAAGGGGAATGGTCCCATCACCCATGTTGCGGGACCATCTGTGCGGACGCAGTGGGTACCTGAGACCACCCACAGAACAAGAGAAGCAAGCCAAAACCTATTACTAAAAGAAAATAACAATGAAATGTCTTTGATGTGGTTTTGAGAGTGTTCACCTCCCCAGTTGTTGTTACATAGTTCTGTTGATTTGAATAAAGAAGTGAGTTGTGTTAATAAAAGTTCCTTTAATAATAATCCAGACGCATCTTTTATCCTGAAGAAGAGCAGCCTAAGGTAAATAACGAACCTTCTTATATGGGGTGATATGATCCTTTAAATAGCCTGGACCCAAGCCAATCTTTAAAAAGGAAAGGAGGGGGGACCTGGGAAACTACAGGCCAGTTACAAAGATGGTGGAGAGCCTCATCCAAGACAAAATCTTAAAACACATAGAAGAACAAGCCTTGATGAGGGAAAATGAGCATGACTTCTGTAAGGGTTAAGTCTTACTTCACAAACCTTTTACAATTCTTTGAAAAGGTCAACAGGCATGTGGATGTGGGTCAACCAGTGGATACTGTCTATCTGGATTTTCAGAAGGCATATGACACAGTCCCTCACCAAAAGTTGCTGAGAAAACTCCACAGTCAGGGGATAAGAGGGCAGGTCCTCTTATGGACTGAGAATTGGTTGAGAACCAGGAAAGAGAGAGTAGGTGTCAATGAGCAATTTTCACAATGGAGAGTGGTAAAAAGCGGTGTGCCCCAGGGATCTGTCCTGGGACTGGTGCTTTTCAACCTGTTCATAAATGACAGGGATAAGCAGTGAGGTAGCCAAGTTTGCAGATGACACGAAACTTTTCCGGGCGGTGAAGGGCAGAAGGATCTCTCCAAACTGGGAGAATGGGCGGCAAAATCACAAATGCATTGCAATATAAGAAAATGTAAAGTAATGCACATTGAGGCAAAAAATCAAAACGTTAGTTATTAGTTAATGGGTTCTGAGCTGTCCGTGATGAATCAGGAAACAAATCTGGGTGTGCTGGTGGACAGCTTGATGAAAGTGTCAACCCAGTGTGAGGCAGCAGCGAAGAAGGCCAATTCCATGCTAGGTATCAGTAAAAAGGGGACTGAAAATAAGTCAACATTATAGTGCCATTGTACAAAATGCTGGTAAGGTTGCACCTGGAGTATTGCATCTGGTCACCACACCTTTTCCAGTTGCAGAAAAGGTGCAAAAGAGTAAAGGTGCAGAAGAGAGCAACTAAAATGATTACTAGGCTGGGGCGCCTCCCTTATGAGGAAAGGCTACAGAGTTTGGGGCTCTTTAGCCTAGAGAAAAGGCGCCTGAGGGGGGACATAATTGAGACATACAGTGGTGCCCCGCATGACGACGATAATCCATCCCGTGAAAATCGCTATTTAGTGTAATTGTTGTCATGCGAAAACTCTTTCTCCATTGGAATGCATTGAAACCCAGTTTAATGTGTTCCAATGGGGAAAATACTTCGTCATCCAGCAAAGATTGCCCATAGGGAAGTCATTTTGCGAGTGCCGATCAGCTGTAAAAATGGCTGCCCTGCAAAGCATGGGTCCAGAAAACACAGGGCAGCCATTTTGCGAAGCTGAAAAAATCATTGTTTTGCGAAAAACAGTTCACGAAGCACAGACCTAACTGACGTCCAGCAAAAATCTCTCATAGGAATGACTGTTTTGCGAATCGCTATAGCGATCGCAAAAAGTCATTGTTATGCAGATTCGTCATTTAGCGGGGTCTTTGTTTAGCAAGGTACCACTGTATACAATTATGCAGGGGATGGATAAAGTGGCTAGAAGAAAGCTCTTTTCCCTCTCACACAATACCAGAACCAGCGGATATCCACTCAAATTGAGCGTTGGGAGATTGAGAACAGACAAAAGAAAATATTTCTTTACCCAGTGTGTAGTTAGTCTGTGGAACTCCTTGCCACAGGATGTGGTGATGGCATCTGGCCTAGATGCCTTTAAAAGGGGATTGGACAGATTTCTGGAGGAAAAGTCCATTGGAGGATACAAGTCATGATGGAGATGTATAATCTCCAGGTTTAAAAAGGAAGGTACTTCCATATGCCAGATGCAGGGGAGTGGTATCAGGAGACAGGTATCGAGTTGTCTTGTGTGCTCCCAGAGGCATCTGGTGGGGCCACTGTAAGATACAGGAAGCAGGACTAGATGGGCCCTTGGCCCGATAAAGCAGGGTTCTTCTTATGTTCTTATAGGACTTTATAGGTAATATCTCAGAACAGACTGGAAGCCAGTGAAACTCTTAGACTTTATAGGTAATATCTCAGAACAGACTGGAAGCCAGTGAAACTCTTATAATAAGGGAGTTACATCCTCCCTATATTTGCTAACAAGATGTCTATTTTGCAAACTATCCCAGCATATTCCAGCTTATTTTAATCTTACGGATAATGCAAATCTGTTGGTAAAACAAAAAGAAAAGACAACAAAATATTGTAGCACTATAAATACTCTTTGATTTTAGTGTGAGCTTATGAGGATCAAAGTCCACTTTGTCAGACATCTTTAGAAATAGAAATTGTTGCTCTAATTGTGCTGTCAGTTTTTTGGGGTTTTTTTGGACTTATATACCGCCCCATAGCGCTACAAGCACTCTCCGGGCGGTTTACAATTTAATTATACAGGCTACACATTGTTTATGACCACATCGAAATCTTTAGCTGTAGTAGTTTAGACACTTATTAATAAAAACAATGTAATAAAACGTCAGAAATGATTTATGAATAATAACAATTAATAATCTTCTAATCATATAGCTGTATTCAGAAACTGAGCTATATTTATTTCCGAACTGCAGAGCTTGAAAGGACCCTATGGATCATTGGATCCAGCCCTTGTCAAGGAAGTGCAGTGGGAAACTGAACACCCAGTCTAGCTCCCCAGCCAGATGCCTGGATAACGGAGTTATCCAGCAGCTGTTGCTGCCCTGATCCAAAAAAGTACATAGAATACCTAAATATAGAGAGCCTTTTCAAAAACTTTCCCTGAAAAATATACGGCATAAGCATATTAAAAATGATAATCACTTCACATCTTAATCACAAAAATTACAACACTTAAATAAATCTTTTTGTCAAGACTTACAGATTTATAATTTTGTTTTCCCATGGGATTTCTTTGATTTATTTTAGACCACTTCCTGAGAATAATTCTTTCACAATTCTTCCCATCTCCTCATTTTAGAAACAAACAAAAAAAATCCCACCATCTTAAACAAACTTCTTTCTCCCCTCCTTGCAACTCCCAGAATCATCAAGGGAATTGTGGTATCGTATAAAGAATTATTATGGACATATATAAAATGTAGTATTCTCTTAGGTCGAAATGATTTTTTAAGAACTTTTGTCAAAGGTATCAGGTCCTGAAATTTCATTTTCAAGCAATAAATTGTCACTGTAATTGAAACAATATTTCAAAAGAGGAAATGATTAATCACTTTGACTCTTAGTAACCTAAAGCAATAAATGATGGGTCAACCAGCTATCAAATAGTAAATATATCTGAAATCTGTACTATGAGCAGTTTCACTGTGAAATTCTGAAAACAAAGATAAAATGAGTAGCAGTAGTAGTCTGTTAGTCAAAGTGATCAATATATTTAGTGCAAGCAACTTAAACTAATTGCAACATTCCACAGGCCTTGACAGCAGTCTAGGGTTGTAGGCATTGACACTGGATCTGTGCCATATACAGTACGTACAGCACTGCTGCATACTGAATACTTCTATAGGAATTCAATCTGAGGTCTTTAAAGATATTTTGTGTTTAAATATGTATGTTAACTGATGCAGCAACTCTGTAAACATGAAAGCGGAGTGCATTCCTAAGCATATTTACTCAGAACTCAGTTCAGAAGAATTCAATTATACTTACTGAATACCTCAAGATATGGAATTCTGAATGTATAAAGTGTTAAAATAAAAAGGGGGTGTAGAAAAAGCAGCTCTGACCATGTACATTGTGTTTTGAAAATGAGGTTTGAACACCAGTTTGCTAACACGACGATCAGGAGTTGGTGTAGTTCAAATGCACCTGGAAGACCACAGTTGCTCAACTACTATTAAAAGAGTGCAGGAGGAATTCGTTGCAACTTTTGCTGTTCCGTTCCTTGCGTGTAATGGAGGTCGTTACAAGGAACAGGTGCTAAACCCACTGACTGTAGCCGTCTCGAAGAATAGAGGCAAGGTTCGCATACACTTGCGGTGTGGCCAGCTCTCTCTCTCTGTGTGTGTGTGTTCGTGTAAACGCCTTTCCCATCAACCCAGGGATGGAAGCCGGGCCCCTCTGCTTGCTTGTAAACCGTAAGCTCCTCTATGGCCACAGGTGAGAATCTTGGCCCTCTGAGGTGGTCTCACGGCGGGGTGTCGACGCTGTGGGCGAGCAACCGCAAGTAGGTCCCCCTCCCAACCCAGAATCACCACAGCTCCACGTAAGTGAACTCACCAGGGATGGAAGCCGGGCCCCTCTGTTTGCTTGCAAACCGTAAGATCCTCTATGGCCACAGGTGAGCATCCTGGCCCTCTGCGGTGGTCTGACGGCGGGGTGTCGACGCTGTGGGCGAGCAACCACAAGTAGGTCCACCTCCCCAACCCAAAATCGCCACAGCTCCACGTAAGTGAACTCAGACAAGCATGGTACGGCTTTCCCAAAGACACACAGCTCCGCACCGCCCGCAACACTCGCCTCACTCTCCCGTCAGGCGACAACGCCGGCGCCCGTCTCGGCGCGTCACGCGGAGGGGCCTTTCTCCGCCCGAGCAAGATGGCGGTTGCCCGCCAGCCCTGAAGGATGCGGCTCACTCGGAAGCGGCTCTGCTCCGCGGCGCTGGTCGCCTACTTGCTTTTCTCCCTCTACGCAGCATACAGCGTCTTTCTGAAGCCCCGCCGCCCTGTCACCTCACGGACGGCCCGGAGGGAAAAACAAGGGCGAGGAGGTAACAGAATCGCGATGCCCCTGTCTCCCTTTCTCTCGCCTCCCTCCCTGCTTTACCAGGTCTCCCTCCATCCTTCGCACCGCCCAGTGCTGGTTGCTATTCCCATCCTAGATTGCTATTTCAGGGCTAGTATTTTTGTCTTTCATTGTCCTTTCCTAACAAGCGGCAGAGCTGCAAAGGTTGACTTTTCAGTCTCCCGAACTTCTTCTCTAAGTGCTGCAGTCCTGAACAAATTCAGACTGAAGCGAGGAATTGGGGGTTCCTTCTGTGTTGGCATGTATAGACGCTCTTGTCCAGCTGGTATAGGTGTCTTCAATGATGTATGTATGCCAAATGTAGGTTTCCACAAAGTTGGAAGCATGCAGTAATGCAGCCACAGGTACTCTGAAGTGCCTCTGAATTGTTTCGCCTTTGCTCACTTAATAAAGAAATGCTACTAAAAGAAGTGTATCATAAACATGCCCAAAGTAGAAGGCAAATCCATGAAATAAAAAATGGATACTCATAATTTCATATCATTGACCATTTTTTCTGGTAATTGTTATGTTGGTAACAACAGGGGGAAAATAAGGTTGTGCAAGTGTCAGGTTAGGTCGCCACTGCTCTGTTTTCATTGAAACAGTTACATATAAGATGATTGCCTGTCATTACATCTCAGTGTTGTCAAATGATTACTCAGATTATGTATTGGGGCCTGTGAAAGGGAAGAAGAATTTGTGGCACTCCAGTTGTTGCTGAACTTGTTAGCCTCAATTGTTAGTTATATGGACAGTTGTAAACCAACATTTCTAGGGCTTTAGAAGAATTATTCTCCTTATTTGGGGATAAAGTCTTCAGGTGCCATCAAGGTTTGAAGTCGTGTGCTTACAGAGTGTTAAAATATTCAAGGAGGTTAAGGAGGAATCATCCCTGAAAATGATTTAAGTGTTTTTAAAAATTGAACAATAGTTTACTGGAAGGCAGCAGGAAAAGAGGAAGACCACATATGGGCAGATTCCCTAAAGGAAGCCACATCGTTGAGTTTGCAGGAGCTGAGCAGGGCTGTTGAAGACAGGTTATTTTAGAGATCTCTCATTTGTAGGGCCTCCATAAGTCAGAAGTGACTTGACAGCACATAACAACAACCAGCCCAGCAAGAGGAAAAGTCAACATTCCTGAAAGTTAAACTGTTTGTTATTATGTTATTATGTTATAATTAATGTTTTATGTTACAATTCCTTGTACATCCTATAGTGCAGATGTCCCCAACCCCCGGTCCGCAGCCCAGTGCCAGTCTGTGGCCTGGGCCGGACCGGGCCACCAAGATAGACCTCCTCCCCCCGGCACGCACTTGGGTTCCTTTGCCTCAGCGTGCCTTCCCTTTTTCCTGCCTTTCTTTTTCGGGAAGTGAGGAGGATGGTTTGGCCATGGAGAGGTGGAAGCAAACAGTTGCTGCCACCACCAGTGCCTCCCAATTGCTGCGGCGATGAAGGGTTTCAGCAGGGAGCTCCACCTCCTTCTCTGCTTCCACCATTTCAGGAAGAGAAACTGCCGGACACAAGAGGACAGGGGGAGCCCGAGCACAGCTTCAGTTGAGCAGTGGCCCTCGCTGAGAATGAGCCTCCTGTGGCTGGAGGCCACTTGGATCCGTGGGCTGTAGCAGCCTCTGAAGAGGCATCTGCCCCGCGGGGCTGCTGTGCTGCTGCTGCTGCTGCTGCTCAGGCCATGAAGAGGAGAGGGGCCAGCAGGAGAGGGGCCAAAAGCGACTTCCAGAAGCCGAGGAAGGACCCCACGGTGGGCGGATGGCAAGGCTGGCTTTGCAGTGAGAGACCTGAAGGGGAACGAGGGGAAGCAGTCCCCTCAAGTACCAGCTTATTTATTGCGTCTGAAAATAAATTGTTAGGGCTAAAACAGCCTTTTAAAAATATATGTATTTTGCCCATTAGAGCAAAGTCCAACTGAAATGCATGCGGGGCTTCCTCTTCACCGATGATGCAGCCATTGTTGCCCACTCTGCTGAAGACCTGCAACAACACATGAATCATTTTAGCAAGGCCTGCCAAGATTTTGGACTAACAATCAGCCTGAAGAAAACACAAGTCATGGGCCGGGATGTGGACTCACCTCCCTCTATTACTATCTCCACGCAAGAATTGGAGGTTGTTCATAAATTTGTTGGCTCAACAATCTCTGACCCTCCCTCCCTAGATGTCGAGCTGGATAAATGTGTTGGCAAAGCAGCTACCATGTTCTCTAGACTCACAAAGAGAATATGGCTTAATAAGAAGCTGACGGCATATACCAAAATCCAGGTCTATAGAGCCTGTGTCCTGAGCACACTCCTGTACTGCAGCAAGTCCTGGACCCTTTGTGCACGGCAGGAGAGGAAGCTGAACATGTTCCATATGCGTTGTCTATGACACATTTTTGGTATCACCTGGCAGGACAAAGTTCCAAATAGTGTAGTCCTAGAATGAGCTGGAATTTTTAGCATGTGTACATTACTGAAACAGCGCCATCTACATTGGCTAGGGCATGTCATGAGAATGGCTAATGGCCGGATTCCAAAAGATCTCCTGTATGGAGAATTAGTCCAGGGAAATCGCCCCAGAGGGAGACCACAGCTGCGATACAAGGACATCTGCAAGCGGGATCTAAAGGTCTTAGGAATGGACCTCAACAGATGGGAAACCTTGATGTTTGAGCACTCAGCCTGGAGGCAGGCAGTGCATCACAGCCTTTCCCAATTTGAAGAGACACTTGTACAGCAGGCCAAGGCAACGAGGCAGTCCCGAAAGAAGCAAAACCAGGGAGCTGGACAGGGGACAGCTTGTATTTGTCTTCAATGTGGAAGAGATTGTCGCTCTCGACTTGGCCTTCTGAGCCACACTAGACGCTGTTCCAAGACCTCCATACAGAGCACGTTACCATAGTCTCTCGAGACTGAAGGATGCCTACTACTGAACTTACTTACTTAAAGGAAGAGAGGAAACTAAAGCCTCAGCCGCTGCTCTCACTCGGTCAAGTTAAGCCTTATGTGCTTGTTGAGTCAGAAGCAAGTTCCACACTGCTTGAAGGACCTTACTCCCAACTACATGGGCAAAAGGCGGGAAAAGTAAGGAACTCGCCTTGCGTTCCTCGGTCCTGAATAATTGTAAGCAATTAGTACCTCACCCCCTTCCAGCCGCCAACAAAAGGGAGCAAAGGGAAATAACCTTTGGCTATTTCAGTAATGCTCCAAATGATCTTACAATTTAAGTTTCTTCTTTTAGCTTACCCACTTCATAGAAAATAAGGGCTATTTCAGGGAAGAGTAGTGCTGTGAACCGTCTTTAGAGCATGGTCACAATTTCCTTTTTAAGCCTGGAAATTAAAGAGCAGGAAGAATATGAGCCACTGTGTTTGTGTTGATAGAGTTCACTTTTGCATGGTACTCACAAAAACACATCTGCTTTCTAATTAGTAATGAAACTGCTGTAAAGACTACTGGAGCAGCTGGTCAGTCTGCATGTGTCTTATAGTGTGTGTCGCAAACTCCCAGTGTCCCCTGCTTGTTTTCCCACTCACAGGTTCACCTTTGGAAACGACTTGTCATTTTCACCACCACCAGAGGGTATTACCCTCACTGTACCAATTACGAGTTTTAGACTATTGCTACCAAATATAACAAGGTTTATTTATGGTTTGTTAGGTAAATCACAGAAGAAAAATCATGGATGTTCTTTTATTATTCATTCAATAAATGTGGATTTAATTACATGTAAGCTTGCTTGTATTCATTCACTTTAATCAAGGTCTCAATATATTCTGACTGTCTATGTAGTTATTACTTTTAACTCTTTTATATTCTGTAACACACCAACTTTCCAATAACTTGTCTAAACACATCACAATCTTCTCCTGAACTCAGTGGTCCCCAACCTTGGGCCTTCAGATGTTCTTGGACTACAACTCCCAGAAGCCTTCACCACCACCTCCGCTGGCCAGGATTTCTGGGAGTTGAAGTCCAAAAACATCTGGAGGCCCAGGTTGGGAACCACTGCCCTAACTGACTCTCTGTCTCCCCAGTTCTCTTGACTCCCCCCTCCTGTCCTGTCATAGGCTCCTGCACTAGAACTCTTCAATGACTGACAGGAGTGACATGTGGACTGTCCGCCACAGTGTGGCTGGTATCACAGTTGCTGATTTGGATTGGTACTTCAGTTCAGATTGGGAATTGTTATCGGTAAATCTCTGCAGGCTTGTTTTTATTCATATATTTATTCTTTCTTTTTAAAGTTTGCTTGATAGCATCTCAGTTTGCAGTAGATCTAAGTTTAAAATGTTGATAGACCATGTCTATTTAATGGTGCCAAATATATAGCAGAACATACATTGTATCCTGCTTTGTTGATCCCCCTGATAAATAAATAGCTTATTACTCTTCTATATTCTTTGTTCATCTTTTTAGTACAAGCTGAAAAAGAAGCCACTTGTCTTATGCTGGATGAATTTTTTGTACCTCTCTCCCCCCTCCCCAACACTTTCTGTATTTTCTCCTATACATTCTGTGGTTTTATAACATGCACATAACTACACACACAAGTGTGTTCAAGCTTTGGGCACTTTTGCCTTTTGATTGTTACTGCCATAATCTTAGTACAATCTCTCTTTTATCTTTTTACTTTGTAGATTGTTTTTCCACAGCTTCAGTCTTTTAAGGCAAGGGGTTTGTATGCTCCTAAAGCTAGCCAAGCAGGTATCCAAGGAGTAAAGTGAAATGATTTATTATATTATCCATAGTAATGTCAGCAGATAATTGGATGACTCTTTCTGCTAATCCCAGAAACAGGATAGTTTGACTGGGCAAAATCTTGGCTCTCTTACTATATACATTATTGTAACATGTTGACCGTTGGAAGTAAAACAGCTCAAAGAAAAATGAGCTATTTTTTTTCTCTCTCTCTCTCTCAAAAAGGATAAAACCTCTCAAGAACAAATCCCATTAGTATTACTATGTCAGGTAGCCTCTTTAAAAAAATAGCTTCCTTCAGCTAGAATAGAGAAGAAAAGGAAGACAGCCTGGTGGAGAAATTATTGCTTGATTGAATGGCTTGTCTAGTAGGTAGAAAGCTTTGACGAATTCTGGTAAGAGATCCTTAGAAATTGATTCATATTCTGAGGTTGAATGCAGAACAGTGAGTCAGAGGTTAGTGATGCACAATTTTTCCGTATTATCAGTTGAAAATTGCTATGTGTTGGACAGACCACTTAATACATTTTTGTTCTGCAAACCAATGAACATAAATCAGGTTTTAATATGTTTTTTCTTCAACACCAACATCATTGTCAAAACCAGCACCACATTATAAAAATCAAGGCACACAGGCAACAAAAAAAAGCACCTTGAACTGCTTTTAAAAAAAAGAAATTAATGCCTTGCACCCTTATGAAAATGATGGTGTATCGACCAAGGGCTGGTTATCTTCTTGAAGACAAACCAAACTAGAACAACAGTTGTAAATGATAATGGAGTGCTTAAAAACAGACAACTGTGATTTGTTATCATATACTATAAGGATTAGAGATGGGAAGTTTGTACGAAACACGGCACCACAGGTGGTGCTGAGTTCCATCGCCCACCCACCCCCAGGCCTTCTGGTTCACTTACGGGGCTCTGCATGCTGCTGGGTCCTTTAAGTGGATCAGGAGGTCTTGGGGGAGGGAGATGGAACTCCTACGAAGCATGAAGTCCTGTCTCTAATAAGGATGCACTTGAGCTTTATTTGCACTGCATTATGCAACAAACAAAATCCAAATAGTAGACAATTAACATTGATGGGACTTTGGATGTAACCTTTTTTCAGATTCTCCAACAAGGAATTTCATCTCTGTGTTTCCCATATTCTGTGATCCTGTTGTAAATAATTTTTAATTCAGAAACATTGGCAGATGTCAGGGATTGTAACATGCTGTTAAAACATGAAACATGATCTGTCATGGAGCTATGACCCCTTTGTACAGTACATGTTCCCTAGATTTCAGAAAAGTCTCATGTAGTTTGGATGTTACGGTTTTAGCATCTGACTGTCTCAGATGTTCACATAAGTCTATGTTTTTGACACTTAGGGCATACTGTTTTGGGAGTTGAAGAATGGAATCCTTGGGAAGTTGATGAGAAAACTTATTTGCAGCAGAGGTCTGAAAGTAGCCTTCGACTACTGGAAAAGATGAAAATGCAAGAGGAACAAATAGACCTCAAAGTACAAATTTGGGGGAAAGCTGCTATTGGTAAGCATGTATCATTAGTAATTTAACTGTTGTTTACAAATCTTGTTGCTTTATCTAAAAATTCTACTACTAAATTCTGTGTTCAAAGGCTTTACTTCCTTGAAAGGTATGTTTAGGATTGTGACCTTACTCTTAGGGTGCCAGATGGGCATAAAACCTGCTGTTTGGTTCACTGCAGGAATTGGTTGGTTGACTCCTTTCTCCAGTGATCCCACTACTTAATCTCTGGAGAAAACCAAATTGTTCTCAAAGTGTTCCTGTCTGAACTTTTATGAGCCCCTCTTGGGGGCTTCTACTTTTTTTGCTGCAAGTAGGATCACTCTTAGTTTGGTTTAATTCCAACATGTACAGTAACTGGGAATGGACCAAAAGCCTTCTGGCTATCAAGACTCCCTCCACTTTGAATTTCCACTTTGAGTACTTCAGGATATCGGCAAATTGAACACTTCCTTTGTTCCTTGATAGAGGGGCAGAGGAAGTAAAATTTCTTTTAAGACTTTGGTAGACTACTGATGTGCTGCATAGCTTATTTAACAATTCAAAAAATATATTTTCTTTGTATTGTCCGTGGGTTTAGCTGCAGACAGTTTATCAACTGGTCCTTGAAGACAAAGCAAAGAAAAAATTGTGTTTTTTATAAGTGATGCAGTGCATCAGCAATGATCTACTATAGTCTATTTTTTTACTTCCCCTTCCAATTAGCAGAAGTGTTCAATTTGCTAATGACCTAAAGTGACTCACTTATTAAGCCACTTCATGATATTGGTAATTCAAACTGAAGAAGCCATACCAAATAGAGTTGCTTGAGCTGTGATATGCGATTTGGATGTGAGGAGCACACCAAACGGTATATCACACCTCTAACTGACTCCAGGAGACTCTGTTTAGCTCACACCAGCTCTCTCCAAAAGAACCTGTGTAGACAAGCCCTTAGCCGGAAATATATTTGATTAACGTATACTGAATGCACGTCTAAATGCACATGATCAGGACTATCATGTTAATATATTTTTCTCCTGTAAATGGACTACAGTGTGCCAATTTGTTTAAAACTTAATTTGGATACCAGCGACTGTGAGTGCTATTTCAAATATTACGAATAAGAAACTATATAAGGAATTTCATTTTTCTCTACATATGTTTTTTTTTTTGGTTATGCACACTTAGCAGATATTTGCTAAAAGCTTTTTGCTTAGTGTAGTAAGCCACAACTAGAGAATGCTATTGAATCAATGGAACTTATGGAGGATTTCACTCACAAAATTTCCACTGATTCAGTGGGCTTACTGTACACTAAGTAACAGGATTTCAGCCATTGTTACAAGCAAAGAATGATTCTTAGGAACAGCAGTTTCTCATGCAACTAAGATTGTGGTCCAGATGTCACCTTGCATAGAAGTATTGTACTTCTAATAGGAGCCTGGTGCAGACGCTGATTCCAGTGGTGTCAAAATATAGGGTTGCTCATGTAAAATCATTTAAAATTGTTTTGCTCTTTAAAAAGTATTTTGACTTTCCCTGTACTTGAAAACAAAGGGTGACTATTCATTTGTCCACAAATCTCTGAGCAAAAAGATGATTTGGCTGTTTTTGTGAAAGAAAGCAATACCAGAAGTTCCTTTGAAAGAGAGAAAAAAATCTATTTATAGAAATTAGTTTCATCAAGTCTTATGGACTCTAAATGCTTTAATTTATGTCACACAGACAAATTAGGTTACAAGCAATGATATGAATACATTGTTAATTATTATTAACAGGTTCTAAACCTAGCCGCTCTTTCATGGATTGCTGCCTTGTCGTAGTGAAGGGGCTTGAGTAATTCAGAGAAGCTATGGGCTATGCCATGCAGGGACACCGAAGACGGACAGGTCATAGTGGAGAGTTCCGACTAAACGCAATCCACCTGGAGTAGGAATTGGCAATGCCACTCCAGTATCTTTGCCAAGAATACCCCATGAACAGAAATGAAAAGCTAAAAGATATGATGCTGGAAGTTGGGCCCCTCCGGTCAGAAGGTGCCCAGCATGCTACTGAGGAAGAGCGGAGGACAAGTACAAGTAGCTCCAGAGCTAATGAAGTGGTTGGGCCAAAGCCGAAAGGATGCTCAGCTGTGGACGTGCCTGGAAATGAAAGGAAAATCTGATGCTGCAAAAAAAAATACTGCATAGGAACCTGGAATGTAAGATCTATGAACCTTGGTAAACTGGATGTGCTCAAATGGGAGATGACAAGAATAAACATTGATATCCTAGGCATCAGTGAACTAAAATGGACAGGAATGGGCGAATTCAATTCAGATGACTGTCATATCTACTATTGTGGGCAAGAATCCCATAGAAGGAAT